ATTAACATTAACATTATTTAACGTTTTAGCTATCGTTTCCAATGCTGTAGGCAGTGATTGCATTAGTCGTAATATGATCATTCCCCTCCTCGATCTCCTCACTCCCGTCATTACTACAATCCTTCATAAATTTGTCTCTACCTGTGTTTTCCCCTCTGACTGGAAAGACGCTTATGTCATTCCACTACCGAATAAAACCAAACCAATCTTCTTTCCTTCAGACTACCGTCCTATTTCAATTCTTCCTTTCATGTCGAAAGTCCTAGAAAAGCTTGTTCATTGTCAGTTGACTAATTTCGTAAACAGGAACAACCTTTTCAATCTTCTCCAGTCTGGTTTCCGCATTGGTCATAATACGACTACTGCACTCACGAAAATCACTGATGACATCCGTTTGGGTATGGAAAATCAATAATTGACTGTGCTGACACTCCTTGACTTCAGTAATGCCTTCAATGGTGTTGACTTTGACCTATTATTGGAGGTATTGCGTACTCTTAACATATCTCCAGCAGTTATTGATTGGTTTCGAAGCTACCTCTGTGGACGTCGGCAGTGTGTACGCAATGAGAATTCTTTCTCTATGTGGTGCGATATTTCCGCCGGAATTCCGCAGGGTGGCGTCCTTTCTCCTCTCTTATTTTCTTTATTTATTAACTCAATCACGCAATCCCTCACTTCTTCTTATCATCTTTATGCTCATGACCTCCAGATTTACACCCAGTCGTCTGTTCAAGACTTACCACATGCCATTAATACTACCAATGTGGACCTTGAATCCATTCGTCAATGGAGTCAGTCCTTTGGCCTTAAAGTTAACCCATCCAAAACACAATCGATTATTATAGGTAGCACTTGGTTCAATTCTCGTTTAAATCTAAACTCCTTACCCCCTGTGGTTTTCGATGGTGTCTGTATTTTTTATTTGGATACAGTCAGGAATTTGGGGGTAATTTTTGATAAATGTCTGACTTGGAAGCCGCACGTTGCTGAGGTTAGCAGAAAGGTGTTTGGTGCGCATTTCTCTCTGAGAAGGCTTAAAAACTTTTTGCCGACTAAAACTTACTAAAATTACTCTGGCCCAGAACATTCTCCACCCGATACTGGACTATGCAGATGTTTGCTACAGATTTGTCAGTAACTCTGCTCAATAAATTGGAACGGCTCCAAAATATGTGTGTTAGGTTCATCTTCGGACTACGCAAATTTGACCATGTCTCCCAATTTCGCGCACAAATTAAATGGCTGCCCATCCATCGGCGTAGAGATCTTTATATCCTTTCATTTCTCTATTCAATTCTGTTCTATCCCTTTACGCCTTCTTATCTTAAAGATCGCTTTACTTTCCACTCTTCTACACTCTGTCGTCCCCTTCGCTCCTCTGATACTTTCTTTTGCTTTCTTACTTAACTTGCCCTCTCATACCTGTAACTTTTATTCCAACTCTTTTACCATTTCTGCGATCAGATTGTGGAATTCTCTCCCTGAATCGATTCGACGATCCCCTTCTCTTGATGCCTTCAAACAACGTGTCAAGGATCACTTTCTCAACTCCTAAATTTCGTCTGTCCTCTACTATCCTTTGCTTGCACGTTGGCTTACTACTACTATTATACTAAACTTAAGCTATTGTATTGTATTTTAATTGTAATTTTATGTGCAATAAAGAATATTTCATTCATTCATTAATCTTTTTCTTATCAAGACAGCAGATTTCTCTTTTTGAAAACAATCTGTGCAACGAATTTATAAATTAAATTAGTTTTGTGGTCCCACACATTCTCCCGTGAAAACCGAGTACTCTGGTTATACTATTAATAACTAATAATAACGTCCAAATCAAGTCATCTCGGCTACCATGATGTAAATGCCAGCTGCTTTAGGCGTTAAGTTTATCCATACGACCATTAAGCCGTACATTATTTTTTATTTTGCTTATGCTTACGTATGTAGGTACATATGTACAATACTTAGTTTTTTCCATAGTCGTGAGTACCTTTATGTATATACCACAGACCACATTTTTTTTCTTTCGGTGGTATATATTCTGCCTACCTTATCTTTATGTATTCTTCGACGTCAACGATGTAACGTAGAGTACTAAGTCTTTGTTTTTGGTCTATTTTCTTTATAATGTTTCTCCAAAGACTTTGATAGGTATCGTTGTGTTTCTCTCTGAGACTATCATTAATAACAGTATAATATCATTGACACAGAGTACCTACTGTATTATAAACATTATTATTTATGTACATTACTCGTAAACGAAAACAATGTTGTTATTTTAATTACGAAATATATTTCTAAATCCTGCTTCAAAGCTTGAATGGCAGAATAAGAATTTTATTCAATTTCCGTATATCTGCTGTCATGTTTTTGACTAATTTTTATCTGTTAAGTTTTACCATATTTTTAGCCATTATATTACGTGGTATGTCGAAACAATATGATATTTATGATATGAAAGAAGACAGACCAATGCTAGACTCGGCACAAATCGTGAATTTGCTTCATGAAACAGACCACAAACCAACAGTTCAAACGGTCACGCCTACACTGTCCAAGACCTTTCAATCGCATCTGATGCCTGCGACTTTGCGTTTGAAAAATATAAATGTCGATGATACTATAACACCAGGTACCTATTGCTAAAGTGTACGCATTATAAAATTCATAATTAATGAATGGTACTGGACTAACTAGTATCAAGGTGTCAGTGAATGTGTTTCTAATTATATTCAGTTAGACGTAGTGTCACATCAAAAAACTTAGCAAAATGCGGTACCTAGTTTGACCGTGCAAAAAGTGAATGTCGTGCTGAAACTCGCTGAACCCCTCAATAGCTATCAATACATAGCTATGCCTTAAGTCTATCTCGAACATAAATATTGTTAATAATAACGTGACAGGCGGTGTGGATTTAATAGGTGACCACAGCAAAGACGAGGAGATACTGAGGCACCGTAAAGTTTGGAGCCGGTGGAGTAAATGGGGCGACTGCTCGGTAACATGCGGCCCTGGTATAATCTCTCGGAAGCGGGTGTGCTTGGCAGGGCGCTGCGCGCCCGGCGAGCGCGAGGAGCAGCACCGCCCCTGCGACCGCCCGCCCTGCGAGCGGCTACAGTACGCCAACCTATCCTCTCCAACGTACTTGCATTACTCTGACTAAAATGACTCTAGACAATCAATCAAGCAGCCTCAGTTTCACTACACCGACCTAAGGTACCAAATAATAATCCTAGTATTTGTATGTGTATATTTATACGATCCCTATACTGCACCTACGGTGGGGTCGGGCTTGGTCTGCCGCGCGTGGTCGGGTTAAGATTATGGGGTGTGCTTATACTCTTTGGTGGCACAGCGAATAGTAATATGGGCGCTTGATGAGGAGGCTCTAGATTTGATTCCAGATTTGAGCCTATTTATGAAACGAACATTTCTAAATTGGTTCTGGTCTGGGTATTGCCCTGAGTTATCGTTATTCTGGTATTCATGGTACAATAAATTCCTCAATTTCAAACTAGAAATTTGGTGTGATTGTCTGGCATTTTTTTCCCCTAAAATACTTCTCTCTGGCATAGCTTCCAATAAAAAAATATAACTGAGAGACGGTCGAGATACAACAACGCTATAAGATTGAAAGTGAAGAAGTATGCCTTACATTTTGAACAATTGTGAGATCTTGTACTCGTAATATAGCCTCCATATACTACCTACATATGATGGCGTGCGGACGCTTCGGGCTTCGCCCTCAGCTGGATCTCGGCCTGCGGCCTCGGCACTTATGACTTTATTTGAAAAAAATAACATAGTTCTTTAATGGCGGCCGTATTGAAAAATGGCAAAAAGCAAATTTTGACCGCACATTATTATTAAACACCCATAGAGAACCCCACATGTCGTTTTTTCAATCGAATTAGAGCAAATTTTTATCTGCCGTCAAAAATGTTTGTATGGCAGACATATTGAAAATGGCAAAAAGAAACTTAAATACGCATGCCAATTTTCAACGGGATCAGGGCAAATTTTTTTCAGCCGCCAACGAACGCGCCTATGGCGGTCATATTTGAAAATGACGAAAATCCAATTTTGACCACAAATGTAATATTATCCGGCACTTTAAAATCCTCCAAATGCCAATTTTCAGCTGAATCAAAGCAAGTCTCTTTCGGCAGCATCTTTTAACGAAAAAACCGCTTGTATGGCAGCAATATTAAAACATGGCGAAAAGAAACTTTTAACCCCAAATTGTGATTAAGGACTCCTAAAGACAAGATCGAAGCAAGTTTTTCTTCGGTCGCCATTTTGGGTTCGCCATCTCGAATTTTTTTTTTGACACAGGCAGTTGACCACTATTATTCTCTATGACATTCCTTCCAGCACCTCCTAACTATCTCTAATAATTCCCGTGATAGAAGACTTTGAAATTTATGGCGGCCATCTTGTTTATTTGAATTTCGTATATACTTCTGGCGGAAATTGCCCAGGATGTACCTCATAAACGTGCACAAATATCCCCTCCATATATTGTAGTTTTTGTAGGCCTTTGATCAGCCGCCTCGCAAGGGTATAAATCGCCCGTTTACCAGAACAACGTGTTATCTATATATCTCGATGTTTTTGATAACACATGCTCTGGCAAACGGGCGAAATATTTTTTGCACCATATCGAGAAGTATGCGTTCCATTTTTCTAAGTGGATCAAGATTTGTAGCTTTACATTTATAATGACGTGTTGTGGAAACTATTGTTTACTCGAAGTAAACAATAGTTTGTTTTTGGTTTTGAAATGATATAGGAAAAATAATAATATAAATATTATTAGATGAATCCTGTGTCTTTCCTGTGTCATTAGCTGCAAATTGAGTAAGTGTCGCAACTGAATATACACGCACAGAGGGCGATTTCACTGAAGTGCAATTACCGATATGTTGTTCGAGGTGTGTTTTTTTCTACGAATTGTGATAAATGACACCCATAACATTATTGTGCATAAGGCCGACGTACTACCTTGCGGAGGTAACTATTTTTCCATGGAATTAGTGTGTTATTTTTAAGATACATACAGTTACCGACATGTTCACTTGATAATGGGTATTCGCCGGACAGTAATGTTTCGTCGTTTAACGTAGACAGCAGTGTGAGATTTTAAAATGCAAGCCACATTTTGCTTTACGTTGTCATTTGTGTCCTTTGTAACAGACTTAGCTTCTTCAGAAAGTGAGTTGGTTTATGTGTATTAAAGTCGGTTGTGAAAGCGTAACAAATTGAGATATATTATATAGGTATACATATAGGTAAAGCTAAAAGTTCTTACTCACTGATGCAAAGAGAACGCATACTTCCCGATATGGTGGAGTATGTGGATAGGTTCCAATCAAATATGAGATGACCTGAATGTGGAAAATATGAAAGAGTGATCAACAACGGCCTGCAAAAACTTGCCAATATCCGCTGAGTGCACAGTAAAAAATGTTTGAAATTCAAATAAACAAGATGGCCGCCGTACCAGCGCTCGTTGGTAGCAGATAAAAATTTGCTCTAACCCGACTGAAAATCGGCATGTCGGGGTCTCTACAGGTGTTTGATAATAATTTGCAGTCAAAACATTGACTTACAATTATATGGACGTCGGGTCCGCGCTAAAAAGTGTCCGCACTTGTAAGGCGCTAAAATCGTATACAGAGCGCCAAACTCCGCTTTAGTCTTCATTTGTTCGACTGACAGCGCGATACTGCGATGACATTTCAATTTAAATTTCGAATAGGTTGACTTGGGACATTTTTTTCGTGGTTTTTGTATTAGACCCGTCGTCCATTTATTTGTAAGTCAATGAGTCAAAATTAATATTTCGCCATTATTCAATATGGCCGCCATACAAGCGTTTTTGGCCATAGATAAAAAATTGCTATAATCCTACTGAAAATTGGCATGTGGGGTTTGATCATAATTTGCGGTGAAAATTATTTTTTTGCTACAATAAGGCTGGCATGCAAATATATGTAACTAAAAAAATAACGATCTCTCTGAGGGCAATACCTAGAATACCCGACCAGAATCAACCTAGAAATATTCGTTTTCTAAATTGGCCCCGGCACCCGGAACCACCTCACCAAGCGCCCACCTCACTAACCGCTGTGCCACCGAAGAGCGTAAGCACACTCCGTAACCCCACCGATAGGGCTCATTATTAATATGAAGACAATTGCAGCACCTCAAGAGGCTCAACATGATGAAAACGTCGTCTCTCAAACGCCTACAAGACACTTGGTATTGGATGATATGGATGGAACTTTGGGCCACAGTTCTTTATTTTCGCACTATTACCCAGCATCTCTAGTAAGTGGTTTTCCTCATATTTACATCCATACCAACAGGTATGGATGTAAATATGTTTGTGAATTAACTTTTAACATTGTTTGTGAATTAACTTGGTAGGTAGCATTAAGTTTTTTTAAGTTTTGTTGTTTGTTTTCGCACTTTTCCGTCAGATATCTAGATGTGTATGTATGTGTTACTTAAAATTTTACCAACTGTTATTTTTGTTAATGGAATAAAATGAATAGATTTATTCATAACAGTCACAAGGAATTCCAGAGGCAGTGGTGAAAATACACTCCGACGTCCGACTACCTCCGATGTTTGTGACCCGACTTATCAAGCCGTACTTACCAGGATTCGACCCTCATTTCAATCAGGTCAGCTCAATACTTTAGGCGACTAATTAAAATCTCTCTGATTCTTACTATAATTCGTAATTGGTTGTTACAAATGTAGGTTCAAGATACGTGCACGATTTTGACTAGCTGTCCACATTGTGCTTCCTTTATTAACTTGTTTTTGGAAGCATTTTTCAGGAGTTGGGTGAATTGTATTGTAGCACACATGAAAATCACAATAGGTAAATCGAGTACAAGACTATCCTTTAAACTCCAAGTTCCCTAATTATACAGACAAAATAGTTTTCTTTGTAAAGCTAGCAATGCTTAGACTGCGGACCAACCGTGATCTTGATGT